GAGTCACATGACCTGCACGGGACTGATAACATCAATCACGCCATATGCCTGGATTGGTCCCCTTTCCCACCCCATTGCTCGACGGCGCAGCTCATATGGATGCATGGAAAACAATGTAATCATCATATGTATCTACTACATACACATATGAGCATCTAATGATACATCTTGCATGTCGCAAGACCCAATCTTCCTGTGGTGCACCTACTGTTTCAGAGATGAAAATACTAAGGTGATATGCCGCACGCTCGTCGGCCTATACAACTTCTGCATCATCAGTATGTTCAGAGACTGCAAGAGTATCACACTTACCCATGCAAATCGAGCATCAGCGAAGCATCGCTGTAGATATGGTACACGTACCATGTCGAGTAGAGACAACAGCTACAACAGGTCGAGAGGAGCTGAGGCGAAGACAGGCAGATGGTGGTGGTTGAAGGGAAAGAGAGGATGAGAGAGAAATTTGTTCAAGTCCAACTCCAACCATTACGAGCGGAGATTGAACTCCGGCACCTCGGCATGATGAAGGAGCGACGCGACGTGTCACGAGACTACCGGCACGCCCCCGTGCCGATAAGTCCGAGTCAGAATATTGCGCAATGGAATCCACGACGCAAATCCTTTGCAACCTGTATTGCAACGGTTGCACAAATGGCACGCACGCAAAATGAGTGCGACTGTTACGCAAAAGTACTGAGAATTATACTACTGACATTTGCACGAACGCCCCTTGGATTTTTTCACCAGATTCTGGGCTGGCCGTGTACTTCTTGCTTCTGCTTCAGTCATATGATGCAGTCGTTTGCCGTACCTGCACTTTCGTTACGCAAGTTCTTTCCTGATATCTCGAAGGTGTGGGAGACGAGTACGATATACACGGCGCATTTGGAAGCGTCCTGGTTCCTGCACCAACGCTCATGCGGGCCGTCAACGCTTTTCGCGGCCCGTTAAAATATGATGACCTGTGCAGACATGAATCTCTTATAAAAGTGCATCATCTGCCTGGACGTCCAGCGGGAATCCTCGGGTGACCTAGTTGTCTGGTGCGACTACCTGGTTCAAGATGAGAGTAGCTCTACTTCTGGGCTTTGTCTTTGGCCTTCTCGCGCTAGGCTCTGCTGCCTTGACCGTCCCTCGCACTTCCCCGCCATCAGGGTCAGTCGTAGTCAGGGCTAGCTCTACCAGATCTGGAGAATATGCAACTGTCGAAGCAGCCGCAAGCTCCTTGCCGAATGATAATTCTACCCAGCGTATATTTATCTACCCCGGGACGTACGTCGGACAAGTAAACATATCCAGACCGGGCCCTACCTATGTGCGTCTTGCCAAGCTTAACGCAATGTTCCAGGGAATGTATAAACTTAAGCTTGTGAACAGCTTTATGGATACACAACAGACGCCTCTTCGTACCACAACAACGTAGTCAACATCATTGCCAATGGTACCCTCACTTCAGCTGGGTCGGACGATAACAGTGGATCGCTCCGTGTCCACTCCAATGACGTGCGTATGTACAATATCAACGTCAAGAACACCTACGGCCCTGGTGTTCAAGCCATCGCACTAAGCAACTACGGCAGTCGTGTCGGTGCTTACGGGTGCGGATTTTACGGGTACCAGGTATTCCATTATCCCTGGCTCTCCCAGTGTACGTTCTAAGTCCGTGTTCCCACTAACATAGGATACGCTCTACGCAAACCAAGGGACCCAGATCTACCTGAAATCATACATTGAGGTAGACAAAATATCACGGTTGTGTATTACCAAGAAATAGCCAACCCAGACATGCGCATAGGGAGCAGTAGACTTCATATTTGGTCGCCTCGGTCAAGCGTACTTCGAAGGCAACACCGTCGCAGTGTCCGGTTATGGATGCATAACTGCGTCGGGTAGGCAGGCCAACAATTCCGCAGTTTGTGCGTAGCTATGCGTCCCACAGAAAATTCAGGCTGATATGAGAATAATACGTTCTAGATGTCTTCAATAGAAACGAGATTGTCCTGGCCGCGGACGCAGAGAGCGGTATCGCAGGCAGGATATTCCTTGGAAGACCTTGGGCAGGTGCGTAGTAAAGAAATCACGGTTCTACACTCGAACTCAACCCGAAAACATTCGGAAGACTATGCAAGGTACGCCAGGATACCCTAGCTTAGCGATATCCCTACACTTGCTTCCCATAGAGTAATCTTCAAGTCGACTTACATAACCGCACCCCTCAACAACACCATCTGGTCTATTTGGAATCCAGGAGACGAGCGCACCGACCACGTCCTCTTCGCTGAATACAATTCCACAGGGCCAGGCATCCCCGCCGACGTCCAGAGGCCGAGCTTCGCCACAATGCTCACTCAGGCAGAGGCCGCACAGTGGAATATCACCAGTGTAATCGGAAGCGGATGGGAGGAGTGGGTGGATCCAGCCTACCTGATCGATGCCGAGCTCTTCGAATACAGTAAATAATATGAACCCGGCATTGTGTGCTCTTCAGTAGCTAGCCAATTTAGCTGCCTCCTTCCCGGCCCTGCGGCCGAAAACAGCACCTGCGGTCAACCCGCTCCCTCCAGGGTAATTTGCATAGAACAGTCCCCCGACGAGTTCGCCCGTGCAGAATAAGCCCTTCACCGCTTCCTTCTGTTCGCTATCCCTCAGTACGCCAGCTGTCTCAGGGTCTATGGCAAGGCCCCCGAACGTAAAGGTGATTCCGCACGCGACACGGACGGCCAGGAAAGGCGGCTCGTCGATCGTGAGGGCCCAGTTCGACTTGGGCAGAGGTACGGATTCGGTCGAGAGGCCGTCTTTGACTGATGGGTCCCACTTGAGGTTCGGATACTTCTTCCGGTGGGCACCCACGGCTTTGTTAAATTCTTGCATGGTCTCGAGGAATCGGGCCTTGTCTTTCAGGCCTTTGGAGCTGAGCTTGTCTGCTAAGTCTTCCAGCGTGTCGCCCCAGATTTTCTCCACGATTCCATCACCGTACTCTTCTTTCCTTAACCAGCTTATCACCTTTGAGTCATAGACCTACCATTCCGAATTCCTCAGCGCAGATCTGGATGAGAAGGTAAGCGAGTATATTCACCTGTAACGCCATTCCGCCATCCTGCTCTAGTATTCTCCTGCCGAACTTCGCGTACGTATAGTTTCGGAAATCCTCCCCTTCGTCGACGAAGCGTTCGCCCTTAGAATTGATCATGACGCCCAGCGGATAACCAGACTTGGTGTATTGGTTCGAGAGTACACGAGAGCCATGGTCGAGAGGCGCATTATAATCCCAACAAGTTGAGTGACAACCTGCCTCGGCGAAGGAGGGTGCCGGCGGCCTGACGAGTGCATTCACTTTCTTGGCCAGAGTGAGCCCGTCTCCGTTGTTATAAGGTGTTCCTCGGACCTGGTAAACCCATGCATGTGCATTAACAAGACTAAATTCAAGAGTCCAAATTAGGACGCATACTCGAGCTGCTTGCCAGAGGTCTCCAAGGTATTTCCGACGTAGTTCTGGACTGGATTCGAAGCCCCCGGAAGCAAGGATGACGGACTTGCTATGTAATTCCAGAAGCTCGCCATTGCGACAAGCTACGACTCCCGTGACAGCGCCATCTTGCTCTATCAAGTCGACTGCTGGACAGTTATACCAGATTTGGACCCCTGCTCGGTGGAGAGCACGGTGATGAGCAGCTATCAATCCCTTGCCGCCGTCTTCTACAGATAGCACCATGCCTCCCCAGAACTTCTGTCTTCCTTCGACTTCATAGGCTTGGCGGTGGAAGCTAAGAATGAATGGGACACCGACATAATCCTTCAGCCACTGGACGGCTCCTCGAGACCCCTCTACAACCGCTCTGACGATATCGGAATCTGACCGATTGTCAGAGAGCCTCATGATGTCCCTCGAGAAGTCGTCCGTCGTGTAAGGATCCATGTCGATCTTCTGGGCTTGCTCAGTCGATACATTGGACACAATTGGCAGGATATCGGGCAGCCCGTCATGTACCGTTCGGTGTGCACCGGCCGTGAAGTATCCGTTACCTCCAGCCCATTCTTCAGGACATTTGTCGATCATAAGAACATTACGGCAGCCGTATTGAACCGCGGACAGAGCAGCACTACTGCCTGCATGACCGGAGCCGACGACGATGCAGTCATAGCATGTGGCAGACATACCACTGACCTATCTGTACCTGACAAGTGTGACGGAGATGCGAGTAATGAATGTACAGGGTGTACCTGTCCTCGAAGCGCCCTAGTTTGGTTGAATCAGTGTTCAGATTAAGATATCAAGGACAGTATAAATATCATCCACGCTTGATCACGCAGAACCGGCTAGCGGCCCGGAACTCCGAGAGGACGTCGCTTGCAGGCACAAGCTGGCCGTTTAAGTTGAGGGTAGAACGAAGCTCCTCCAATTATTGAACAGCATACATAGCAAAGGGATAATATAACTGAGGACACACGCAGATAAGTAGCAGCCACATCAACCCCCTCCCAGCATCTTCCTGAAATCATCCTGTCCTTTCACCCCCTGTGCTCCGCTCGAGGGCGTCTGAGAAGAACTCTGCGAACCCACAGCGACTGGCTTCCGTTGTTTCCCCAATCCAGCTCTCGGTCTGGATACTGCCGCGCGCGGTACAAACAGCCCACCAGCCTTAGGTGGAGGCGCAGCAGGCCTTGAACCAGAGCCGGTCTCTTCAGATATGTCCAAGACATTCCCATTGAACGTGATGGGATTTGGCAATAGAAGGAGCTTTCCCGCTTCCTGAACGCATTGACAGTTACGTGTCTCAGAACAATGTGTTATCTCTGGACATTTTAGACGCACCGCAGGATTATCAAGTTCTGCGACTGCCTCGTTAAGATTAGCAAAGACTTCCACCCGCTTGACGCGGGCGATTTTCTCTAGAGCCTGCTGCAGCAGACCTTCTTGCGTGCCAGGCGGGAGGTTCCGAAGGCGCACAGATCTACTCCTGACTTCGCTACGCGAGCCGGCCTCGTGACTCCTGCCACAGCGGCTGAGCCTCATATCCTACTGTTCACCGAGAACAGCACATTGCTTACTTTTTTGCGCGTCGGGTATCAGCCAACGTTACAGCGATACGACGGCCCTTGAGCTCATGGTTATTCGCAGCCAGTGCGGCCAGTGCGTCTTTCTAGTAAGGACGCCTAGGATAAGGACGAACACCCCTGACAAGAAAATACCATTTACCTCCAACTCGTACTCCACGAACGCAAAGCCTTTGGGCCTTCCAGATTCATCCTGTGCCATCCTGATGTCCTTGACAGGTCCATACTAGGAAGAGGTATTGTGAGTACCGCTGCCCACCGCACGTCAGGAAAGATGGCCCACCGTTCTGAATATCTTTTCCAGATCTTCCTTCGTAGTGAATTTGCTTAAGCCTGCCACATACACCTCCCGAGCGTCGGCATCAGCATCCGTTCGTTCCTTCTTCCGCTCAGGATTAGATATGTAAACATTCAACGGCAAACCCGGCTCCAGCTCAATACCATGTAGCAGTAGAGCTTCTTTCGCTGAAGACTATCCACAATAAATTACACGGAATAGGCTAGACAGGGGAAGAGCACCTACAGGAGAGATGTATTGCACATATACGAACCGCCTTGTGTTCTTGAATTTCTTGCTGGGCCAGCGAGTCTCGAATATTTGACCGTACTGCAGCGCGTCAGAATGACCAAAATGCACCCACAGCAAGCATCCTACCTTCCCAAAGATGTCTCGGATGAAAGCATCATCTGCCTTCTCTGGGAAGTTCGTGACATATAGAGTCGACTGCCAAGCCATGTTCACAGCGATCTCTTGTTCCCGGATCCGCTTCTTATCCTTAGTAAGGGCAGCAGGGACGCTTTCCTGCCCAGTGCACCGTTGATCAAGTTATCCACGCCAAGACGCTGCAGCGCAGTGGTACTTACTCTCTCTGAGAACTCAACGGTAGCAACTACCGCATCGGGGAGATTCGTGACCTTGATCTCGCGTATATCACCACACTGTCAGGAGGGGGTGAGTCACCGGTACGAAGGATTGTCACTCGTCCTTACGTCTTTGAACATGGCTCGAAGCTCAGCCTCCGTTGTTTCAGGGGGAAGCTCGGTCACGAAGACTGTACAATTCTCACGATCCCTGAATATGGCACATGAGCAGGTGCTGGGCTTTGCTGCTCGCCAGCTTACCTTTTCAGCGTCGGCGGCCTGGACTCTGCATATCTCGGTGAGTTCGACCTTAGTCATAACAGATCGCACTCACCCATTCGCGGTCTCTTGCTACCCTCGGGAGCAGGGCTCTCGTCTGCCTTCCTCTTGCTCCCGCCGTCTACTGAGGTAGGCACGTCCACGTCCATAGCCTCCCCAGCGGCAGGAGCAGCGGCATTATCCCCGGCTTGCGGAGGCGGCACTTCCGCTACAGGAACGCTGGTAGCCTGCTGCTCTGTTGCCATCTGGTACGCCTGATACGACGCCTTCTCCGCTTCCTGTGCTTCCGCGTCCAGTCACCTACTGTGTCACGTACGAAGATTACGCACCCTTGCCCGCCGTGCATTCACCTGCCCCTGCGCCCTCTCTACCTTATCCATGCATCTCTCAATCTCGTCGACGGATCCGTACAGATGCTCGAAGGAGAGCCATGCTTGCCAGATGGCCTCAGGCCAGTCGACGTTCTTGGTTGATACGTCCACGTACACTGCTCGGGCTTGGTCGTACTGATTCTGTTTGCTAGATCGAGCGGATGAGCGATACTCGGTGCAGGAAGAACGGCTGAGAGGACGCACATTAGAGCTTCCGCATACAATGTCCATGCCAAATAGCTCGTCTTGTAATGCTTAGCAGTGGCCTCCCAGAGTGCGGCGGCTCGGTCGGGCAGCTCGAACAGGTTGACATACTGCGCACACGCCGTTTAACGCCGCGCATACATCGAGGATAGTGGGGATCGCTCACCATATCCGCCAAGTATTTCTCCAATCTTAGGCCGCCACTGTCTCCTGTCTTCGAAGCTGCGGATAAGTCAATCCGCGGGCCCAAACGCAGGGAGTCTAGCCTGCTTACACTTTCGAACCATAGCAATGCCTTCTTCCAAGACTTTAATCAGTCCTTCCAAATCTGGCTCTACGCAAACAGATGAATGGTGAACTAGTAGATAACAGAAAAGCAGAGCCTCTCACCTGCTTTGCCGCTCATAATCTGCCGCTTCCAGTGCCCAGCTCGAGCAAGTACGACGGGGATGATCTGCTCCACGTCTTTCTGAATCAAGTTCGTCGACATTGCACGCGTATATGCGTCTACACACGGCCGACGCCAATGGTCAGTGGAATGTAAACTTTGTACGGTGCGAGAGTGATCAAACCTGCCACATTCTCTGGGATATCCAGATCTTCATCCGGCTCTTCGTCGTCCGCGATTTTTTCCTGAAGAGGATAAGGACAACCATAACCTCAAGAGAAATGCACACTGGAAAGGATGACGACGCACCAAGAACCTGAAGTAACGTGCCCAGACCTCACCGCTTCCAGGCACACTCCTCGTAGCTCTCTTCAATACCTTCAACTGAACAGTATCCTCAGCGTCGTCCTGTCTCTGTAAAGACAATCAACAAGGCGGAGCCCGTAGTAAAGGGTCGCACACGCACGAGGAAGTCGCAATATCCTATCCAGAACATCCTCAACACCTGCGCCGCGTTCATATCCTCCGATACCCCCCTCTTTGCAGCCTCTGCGATCGCACGCTCGTACAGCGCTGTCAGGATGAATGCGTCGGGGTTGCGGGCTCGCCGCTCAGAGGCGATGTACGACGCGTAGGTCTCGAGAGCGTATTTCGATTGTCTCTGCCGCCAAGGAGATGAGAAAGATAGCCAAAACGCGATTGGAAAGACACGTACCAGCTGGGACTCGTACGATTCTCGGCGTTCATATGCCTTCACCGCCCGCGAACGGAGTTTAGATGCAGAGACGAGGAGGGATTCGTACTCTTGTGGTGACTTATAGTTCGTCGTGAAGGTAGAGTAGGATTGGAATGTCTCATCGTGATCTGGAGTGGATATACGTCTCGACTCGTATAGGATAGAGAGCCAAACGAGAGCAACGCACTGCAATGAGGTTGTTGCAACCGTGTCAGGTATGCAGAGTGGAGATGGCCAATGAGAAGTTCTCTTGCGAAAGGCGAGATTTAGCAGTCGATCAAAGCTGGAGAGGTTGAGTACGGTACCGCTCGACTCCCTGCGCGCGTTCCAGAAGCTCGTGCTCCCAGTCGCGTTGCAAGTCCCATAGCAAGTGGCTCTACGTATGTGTTAGATACGTTTACGCAGATTGTCCTTCACACGTACCTCGGTTACATGCCCGACGCCCTTTGACACTACGGAGGATATGGCACTGAGTGTAGCCTCGGTCGAGAACAGCTCCTTCAGCTCTGCTGACGCGTCAGTATTCGCCAGGCAGAAGGTGTGCCGGTCAATCAGGAACTGGATATGCTTTCGAAGGATCGGGATAGCTACGGCAATCTCTGAGCGGAACGCACTTGAATACCACTGACGCACATACACAAGTAGTCTCCCTCTGCGCGTTCATACAGTTCCAGTATCTCCTTCACTCCTTCCGCTGTCGCCAAATCGACAGCTTTCTCCTTTGCCTCGATCAGCGGCACCCAGATCTCGTCGGGCACGGCATAGAAATTCGCGAACATCTCTCGAGCCTCGTTCACCTGCTCGTCCATCCCAGTCGCGGAAGCCAGCCTGACATGCTGGATATGCAGCGAGAGATCATATGGGTTGCTCGAGAGCCGCGTGAGCAAGTTGGAAAGAGCCTCGAGATTGTCGGACTCGTCCATGTCGGTCGTCCACGGCGGCACTGACGCTCAGACTGAGCTCGCGTGCAGCGCACTCAAAGGGGGCGAGTCACGTGCGCGTACAGCGTCCATCGGCGTCGGCGACGACCTGCTCGTTGCGTCCAGCGCAGGCTCACTGCTTCCATTCATTCTCCCACAAACGCAGCGCGAAGGCGGAATATGCTCGCAGCCATGACAAAAGCCCGCGCACTGTTCTCAGCAGCTCGCCTGGGCAGCCTCCCGCTTCTGGTCCCCACGCACGCCAGTTTCGGCTCAGACACTGCATCTGCCGCTACCGCCCATTGTCTTGTCTGCAGGGCAATGCACCCGCTGGCCAGTATGGAAGGGCTGCATCGGACTTACAAGTCTTGCGTGGAGCAGTCGGAGGCCCAGCGCTCAGGATGAATAGCGTGCTATTTAGCCTTAGCGGGGTGTTTCAGACTGAACTCTTCGCCGGGTCTCATACGACCCCCCTATCTGTCTGCGCGTATAATAAGACTCTGCTGCTGCCCCCTATGGATCCCTTTTCCCCTCCGCCTCTCCCGTATGTCTCTACCGTGCGCGTCGAGGTGCACGTCGGGTGGTTTGTCGACCCCAAGATGACCGCCCCGACGTCGAAGAGGCCGGAGCGTAGGCCGCTGTCCTTGACGCGGTCTATTCTCAATTTCGTCAAATTGGACTTGTAAGTGAGGCGCCCGTCGAGGCATGAATTGTGAGTGGCACTTACTGTCAACCCGCGAGCAGCTTCGATTCCAAGCGACGGTCTCGTCTCCCCTCCGAATCCAGGTCGAAATCGCCGTTAGACTTGTGCGTCAGGTGCCCCTCTTGGAGATTGTGGAAGTATAGTCTTATCTTCCTCGTAGTTTTGACACCAAGCGCCGGTCATTCTCGAACACGCGGACCACCTCTTCGCCCAAGCCTAAATCCCCACAACCCCGCTCCCGCCGATCCAGCGACATCTCTCGTCCATATCCCATCCACCACCCAACGCGCCGTGCACAGATATCCCGCCGAATCCACTCCCTCCCCCCTGAGCTCCTCGCCCACATATTCGTGCTCGGCTCTCAAGATGATTACATGTTCCCCGTAACAGTATCGCACGTCTGCTTCACCTGGCGGGACGTCGCCCTGCGCACGCCCCCGCTCTGGCGCCGCATCTGCTTGGACCAGCGTACGGAAATGTGGAAGGAGCGTATCCGGCGCGCGAAGGCGTGTTCTTTGGATATCCAGCTGTCCTCGAAGATATACAGGAACGCGGACACGGGGAGGTTGGTACGCCACCAGGTTCTGGATTTCTATAACATCCACTGGTATATGCACGTCGCAAACCCCCTGATACACCGGTGGCGATCTCTGGAAATCGTATTCCATGATTACGCGCCCTGGCTCTGGAACGCCGCGCTCTCGGAGTGCTGCAGCAAGAATCCGTACCTCTCCGCTCCCGCCCTGGAAGAGCTCGTGCTTATCCATCCCACCAACGACGACACGAAAGAATTCCTGCTCTTCGGCGGTCGTGCGCCGCAGCTACGCCGCGTCGCGCTGAATGGTATCCGCTTAGTCTGGCTCCCATCCTTATTTTCGAACCTGACGCTCTTGGATTACACGCATCACGGGTTCACCGTCGGCTCGCACGCGGTGGAGGAGGTGCTCAGCATGCTAAGCATATCCAGCCGCCTTACCGAGCTGCGGGTCACTTTCCCCGTCCGCATGGCGCACGCGCCGCCGCCTTCCATCTATCTCGCGCAAGTCCACCTGCCCTACCTCAGGAAACTAGCCTTACGCATCCAGTCCGCCGACATCCCCTTCGAGCTCCTCGCTGTCGCGACGCACCTCACCACACCGTACCTCCGCTCGCTGCACCTCCTCGACGAGCGGAACGCGCGCTATTCCTTCCCGCGGCTGCACGCATTCCTGCGGGCGTTTCGGAAGCCGGACGGGCTGGCCAGTCTGCGGGTCGAGGGCGGCTGGTACGACTTTCGCTTGGTGGCGAAGTGGGTCGGCCGCCTGGGGAGCCTCGCGAGGTTCGTGGTGAAAGACGGGGACGGCAGGGAGCGAGTGCTGATTGGCGGGGTTGCGGGCGGCCGTTCGAGGACTGCGAGCAGGGGCAGAGAAGTGGGAAGGTGATGACCCCCTAACGACTTACGAATAACTTAAGTATTCGACCCAGACTTGCTCTAACTAACGTACATTCGGACTTCTTGTGCCAATTAGTGCTTCGACATGCATGCATACATCCTATCCTGCTGTATCAAACAAACAATTCCGTACACCTATCCTACTAAACCATGTACATAGTAGTACTTTGTTCTGTAGCGAATACCGAATCCAAGTTCCTTTCACCTTTATCTCGTTCGGGAGACGGGCCGGATATCCGCCCGGATAAGCGTCGGGACTCGGGACTTGGACGGTCTACTTCCAGTCTGGCATCTGCGTGCCGTGTACTGTCGATATGTACGTAGTCACGATGAGCACAACCTTCTGTCTCTCTCCCACACCGACCAAGAACAACAGCATCCACTCGAGATGTCCTCGCTGAAGCTCGAGAAACTGTACGACCTCACCGGCCGCGTCGCGCTCGTGACGGGCGGGGGCACGGGCATCGGGCTGATGATTGCGCAGGGGCTCGCGGCGAACGGCGCGAAGGTGTATATTACGGGCAGGCGGAAGGAGGTGCTGGAGAAGGTGGCGGGGGAGTGGAAGGCGAGTGGCGAGAACGGGTCGCTCGTGCCGTGAGTGCTGTTCACTAGTGGACGGCGGGCTAGTGTTGATTGGATGTACGCAGGCTGGCCATGGATGCGACGGACAAGGAGAGCATCATGTACGCGCGGAAGGAGGTCGAGGAGAAGGATGGGCGTCTGCACGTTCTCGTGAACAAGTGGGTTCTCCTCTCCTCCTGCAAGCCGCTCTGACATGTCCCCCCTCCCCACTAGCGCCGGCCAGACAGGCCCCCGCTCGGGCTTCATGAACGACCCGCAGGCGCCGGAGCGTAAGAACGCGGACACGTTCGGGCTCGCGCTCTTCGCGAACGAGGACATCGAGGGCTGGGCGGCGCTCTACAAGATCAACACCTTCTCGATCTTCTTCGTCACAACCGCGTTCCTCGGGCTGCTTGACAAGGGCAGCAAAGACCGCGCGGGGCACACGGCGTGCGTGATCAACATCACGAGCATCAGCGGGTACACGAAGCTCGCGCAGAACCACGTAAGTCTTAAGCGTGCTCTGTCCCTCCTCCGGTCCGTGAGCTGAGGCGGAGGAGTAGTTTTGCTACAACAGCGCGAAGGCGGCAGCCTCGCACCTTACCAAGATGATGGCGACCGAGTTCGCGCTCAAGGGCGTCGACGTGCGCGTGAACGGCATCGCGCCGGGGGTGTACGCGTCCGAGATGACCTTTACCGACATCGACGGCGAGGAGCAGACCAACAAGGTCGGCCAGCCGCTGGTGTCGATACCCAT